CTGAGTGTATGAGATCAAATTGCCATAGAACAAAGAGTGTTTGTTTCACAAGAATAATCAAATCACTGTACTATTTTTCTCCAAGAAGTTTAATTCGTAATACAGTAAAGTTTTTCACTTTGCAATTTTAAATGTGATATAACCTTGTGAAGCTTGAGCTGTTCTAAAAGCAGTGTCGCAACTTCTTAGTTTTATTCTGCTTCTTACAAAACAGAATGTCAGATCTAAGTTAACATTTACTGGTTCCAATTGTTTCCCTTGGTTTATCAGCCTTCTTCAATGGGAACCATCAATATGAAAATGCTCCAAATCATAGCATTTGTATTTTTTCTGTAATGACCTTTTGCTAAATCAAATCTGTGCACATTTATTGTCAAAGTCTTTTGGACTTGGAACAGGCATGAGCAAATGTTCCCAAAACAGTTGGATTTTGTAATCTATTTGTATTTGGTGGGTCTTAGGAGTAAAACTTCAGAAAGCATAGGCGCAGAGATTGCTTCATAGTATCAGAACACAGTTGAAAGGGGAATTAGTGTGATGTTATTCTGCATGATTAGGCCAGGATTTCAGCAAAATGGCTGTTAGCCATAATTAGATTGTGAAATAAATTAGCAGATGATTTCAGTTATGGTTCTCAGTATAAGTGACATTTTAACATATATGAAATAAATGAGTAATGTGTAAACTTAGTGTTTCATTGAAGAGGAGAAGGAGAGGCTAAATGAATTTGGTTTGCGATTTGTGATAGCAGTGTTCTGTTTTGAATTACTTGGGTGAATGAAAGTGTTGGCACTGAAGTTGGAACCAACAAATTGTCTTAACAAACAACTCAGGTTGAAATCTTGTTGGTTGTGGATAATGTTTACTTCTCTTAACTGGTGAATACCAGCAAAAACAAGGGGTCACCCAGTGAAGCTTTAAGATTAAACCAGTGATAGAGGATTTTTTTTTTAATGGATTATGCAATTAACCAACTGGCTCACATATTGCCGAAGCAAATCTCTTATGAACGGCTTTTATAGTTTTGTTATTTAATTTGCATTTTACTTATAGTCCATTCATATTAAAACCTGTATGCTTTCAGACATAACCAGTATCAGAGGTTGGAAAGAG